GGGACAAATATTTCTTATGGGCTGGCGTTGCGGAGCTCAAACTGTGGTATTTCAAGAGAGATGGAGGCATCGACGGATGTGGCCTGTTAGGGCAGTACGAGCTCTTTCGTTACTCATATAATAAAGTACTTCACGCTTCACAGCTGCCAGAATCCCTCGGATATCCAGTGTTAGAGCATTTTCTTATACTGTGACTGAGTTATAGTCTAAATGCAGTCATGCCAATTTTCCTCGTTATGCGTCTTTGCATATATGCAAATGCAAAAAAGCATATTCTGACAACCCCGATGTATATATATATATATATGTGTGCTTGTTTGTCCGAGTATTTCAACTCGTCAATCAAGCAGGCTCCCGCGCTGAAATTTTGCCAGTGTGTTCCCCGGTCAAGTGCTACCCCAGGACCGCGGTACTAACCCACATGGACGTCTGGGCCCCCACCTACAAGCGCGTGAGAGTTTTGGCAGGAAAATTGCCAGGTCGGGTATCAGGAAAGCTAGAGAGTTGAAATTTCAGGGATATGTTCACTGTCCACGTACAGCATGAAAATTTCAAATCCAGGCCCCAGGTATATGTTGTTCTTACGTGCGAGCATGTGGAAATTGACGACAAATTGCTAATTCGGGAACTAAGGAAGCTGGGGAGCTGAAATTCTGAGAGCATGTTTCCCGTGCAAGTAAAACTTACAAATTTTAAAGTCAGCGCCCTCCCACCCTCCGATGTGCGCGGTACTCAAGTGCGGGTCTGTGAAAGTTTTGGCGGGAAAATTGTTTACTCGAGAACCGCAACGGCTATATCGTTTTCCAGGCAACAGAAATATGTCAGTTTCCTTCATGCAAAATTTATGCTCATTTTCTGTAATGTATGTACATGTTAAACATATGAATAATAACATAAAAGTGTGGCGCCACAGCCATTCATACTGTTTATTTGTTCATTCGCATCAAGCGGTTGGTTTTCTTTTTGCGGATCTTTTTTTTAACTCCTTTTCTCGTTAACGCAGGAATCCTCCGCTCATGAAAACTGTAAGTCAAGGATATTGCCTTGTCTCTGCTCTGTTTTATCGAAATCCTCGAAACGTTACTTTTCTGTAGGCTACGGAAGTGGAATAAATCTGACTGATTTATTCTACTTCTGTATTTTAAAGAAATTAGCTACTCTTAGCTATTCTCCAAGTGAGGACTGCGACTGTATATTTCGAAGACATTATGGGGCAGTTTGGTCTTTTTTCTCTTTTCCTTTTCCTAAGCATTAACTCTTTTAAATTTTCATGAATCAGCAGTTTCAGGGGACCCCCAAAGTTGCTTGAGAAGAGTTCCCTTTTCAGGCTGTTCTTTTTCTTGCGTTGTCCAATCATCAGCCCCTTTTGGCATTCGGTTCATTCTACACTTTGAGGGATCTTCAGATCCTAGCAGCATTTGGGCGGTATTTGCTCCTTTTTTGACCCAAGCCGAAGACTAATTATTTTCAGCTTGCGATGGCCTTTGCGTTCTTAGGAATCTCCAGATTTCAGAGACATATGAGCTGATATTTTTCAACGCTGTGCTTCTTTTTCTTTCCCTTACGACCGGATTACTAGATGACTGGATTACCCGATGTGTAATAAATCTATCACATACTGCCGTCCAACACAAAGACGAACAACTTTTCTGTGTGGTTTTCACAGAGTTCTCATTCAGAAACGCTTCTGCAAAATGGAAAGAACCCGAGCTTCGTTCTCTACTATCAAAATTCAAGCACCGGTTATTAATTCCTCCGAAATACCAGACACACCAGCACTAATAAGCTTATCCCTTGACATGCACCAGCTCTATAATGTGCCACATTTACATGTTTCACGAATGATTTACGCCACGCATTTGGCATCATGCCTCTAAGGAGGTTAACTGCAGCAGGAAGGGAAGTTAGCAGCGGAAACAGCCGGCAACTCGATACTGAGCGGAAGCGTCGAAGCCGACTGTCGTAACTGGAGCTTCACCAAGAACGGAACGGCCACAGGCAAAACGAACATGCTCGACTGGTGGAGCTAACTCTTCCTGAACCAACAATAGCATTGATCATTGGCGACGCGCAATGAGCGGGCCCGTGCGATCATGCGTTTTTGCAGTATTTCGTGCTGTAATAAGATCACTCGAAATTCCGCCAGCTAGAAACCTCTTGTACAAACTGGTCCTCGAATTTCGGGAAGTTAATTATCCACGCTTTACTTGGAGAGGGAACATTCCCTTGAAATCTCAGCTTTTCAGCTTTCTCAGTCCCCGAGTTACTCAAATTCCAGCCAGTAAATTTCATGGGGCCGTACGCGGCAACCACGCATAACGGGGGCTGAATTTGAAAAATTCAAGTTGTAGATGAGCTGGGAACATTTCCTGAAAGTTTCAGCCTCCAGCTTCCCTGGTTCCGGAGTTGGCCATTTTCCCGCCAGAATTTTTCACGGGGCTGTACCTGGCAAACACGCATAAGAGGGGGCTAAATTTGATAAATTTAAGTTGTAGATGAGTTGGGAACATTTCCTGAAGTTTTCAGCCTCCCAGTTTTCTTGGTTCCCGAGCTAGCGAATTTCACGCCAGGAACCCTCACGCGGCCGTACGCAGGAATCGCGCACACCTGGGGGCTGAATTTAAAATCTTTAAGTTCTATATGGACGGGGAA